ATACCGTCTGCAGCAACATGGATGGACCTGAAGAATGTCATTCTAAGTGAAATAAGCCAGGAAAAGAAAGAAAAATACCATATGATATCACTTATGTGTGGAATCTAAAAAAAGACAAATGAACTTATTTACAGAACAGAAACAGACTCTGAGACATAAAGAACAAATTTGTGGTTATGGCGGGGTTGGGGGAAGGGGGTGGGAGAGGATAAATTGGGAGTTAGAGATCTGCAGATACTAACTGATATATACAGAACAGATAAACAACAAGTTCATGCTGTATAGTGCAAGGAACTATATTTCATATCTTGTAGTAACTTATGGTGAAACATATGAAAATGAATATATATATATGTTCACATATGACTGAAGCATTGTGCTGTACACCAGAAACTGATACAACATTGTAAGCTGGTTATACTTCAATAAAAAAAATCTATACAATGATAATGACAAAAAATAAAATCTAATATGGGAAGACCACTCTTGTCTGCATTTTTATAAACACACACACACACAAACACTTCTTTTTATCCAAGTTTGTGAATATTTTGGGATTGATCAAATGTGGCAATTTGGAATTCTCTTTGCTTCCTTTCTTCCTTTATGCTTCTTTATTTTAGTTTTTGCCAAATTAGTTCTCCCCATTACCTACAAAGTCCATACTTTTCATTCTTTTGTTTGTGGTTAACATCTGTCTTTTCAGTCTTATACTTAGTTATTACTTCTCCATTATCTTGTTCATCTATTATCTGGACACTTTATTGCTGTGAAAGATCCTCCTATGGCTATCTTATGGTAGGGCCATGAATAAATGATATACTATATAGGCGTTTATTATGCTCTGAAGATGGTCATCCAAAATCATCCTTGGAAAAATCCGGGGGCAACCGAGGTATAGAGCTGTTATCTCTAAGAAAATTTCTATCAAATCAGTATCTAATGTAGTACAAAGTCCCAGAGAAACAAGGACTTGAGTCTGAGAGGTAAATTAAAGCATTCCAATTGTCAACTCATTATTGTTTTAAGTGAGTTTAAAATTTCCATGAAAAAGTAATACATATTCTGGATTTAAATAACAATGATGGTATATAATCAAGTGCTAACAAGTGATAGAGACTAAGCTTCAATGACTGTCATATGAGGATTGGTTGAAGTGGAACCAATAAATGTAGGCAGGGCTGAGGTGGAGGACAATGATGCCCTGATTTGATCTTACTTGTGATAAATATCCTAAGGTCCTAAATGTATTATGTATATATTTCTTACTTTTAAAAAACATATTTATCAAACTAATTTCAAAATTATGGCTTAAATGAAATATACTATATGATAATGAAATATGTGACTGCAGAAATCTGTAAGTGTTTTGCTATGAATTTTTTATTTTGCTAAGAAATTTTCAATTTAATAATGCTGAAGATAGTTATTTTGAGTGGAAGAATTGAATACATGTCAAGTTAAAAATCATGTTCATATTTTTAAAGAATAAATGAATAAGCTTATATTCAAATTTAGTTTGTTATTTTTTCTTATGTAACAAAAGATAATGAAGGAAAATCATTTGGATAATTACAAGTTTGTTGGAAGATGCTATTAAGGAAACAAAGTATTCATACAAGCAGAATTTTTTAAAATGTAAGCTTAACATTTTTTTTTGTGTGTGAAATACTTGCTTTGCTGCTTATAAACAATTGATCTGCTATGAGGAGGTTAGCAGCCATGGAGGTTTTGCTTTTGTTTTTAAAAAGAAGCATTAGTTTTAAAAAGATACATTGAAAGCATTGCAAAGACTACGCAAACACACTGAAGGAAAACAGAGGTCGAAATTAGTCTTTCAAATGTATCTCATCATTCCTAATGTAAGCTTTTCTTCTAATTATTCTTTGCTTTTAGTAAAGTATAAACTATGCATACATGACAATGTTTGCTAGTAAGTGAGCTAGTAAGTGAATCTTATAGAAGAATTTCAGGAAATAAAATATTCTTTAAAAAGTAGCATTTGTTAAAACAATGTAATGAACAATAAGATATCTAAGGATAAACTGGCTATATATTTATTTAATTAGAAAGATATCAGGATATATAATATAAAACCACTCACCCTTAAAAATAAAGCATGATTGTTTGCCACAACTATTTTAACATACTTTTCTTCTAAGATTATTTGAAACTCTGGAAAGCAAGGTTTGGATTGGGAAGAGTTAAAAAACATGAAGCAACAGTAACCCCATTTAGATAAGGGAATAGAGGGGTGGAGCAAGGGAACAATACACTAAAGTGCTTTTCTTTCACAGATCTTGGTTCAAATTAAGGTTAAATTCCAAAGGAGGATGTGTTTTCCCCATATGGAGTCTTAAAGGACATGCCTTTGTTTCCAACTTCCCAGAGAAGATATATGTTAACACAAACAAAGCATTTCATAATAAATTTAACTTTTATAGAGTGACTAATGCCCTGTGGAGATAAGGTAGACTCTCAGTCACCTGTGCTTAATCCAGGCTGAAGAAATTATGCCAAGGGCACACTGACAAAACTTTATTCCTTTGGAGGGAATGGCAGTAACTCGGTAGGGAGCAGAAAGGGTCTTGGTTTTAAAAGTCTCATTGGAATGACTCTCCCTTCCTCACTGTGAACACAGTTTAGCATTTATGTACTTTGGAAGGACAAAGAGGTGAGGTAAGCCTGCCAAAATCTGAACCTGGGTTTCTGGGAACCTGTTAGTAGGTCAACTGTTACAAATGTAAGAGAAGCTGCAGTGGATACTAGAAGTTTGGGAGTCGGATCACAACTTTATTACAGCCTGCATGCTGTTTCTTCCTCTAGGTCTCAAGTGGGGTGACATAATGTGTAAAATGCCACAGAGGATCACTATTATTCAATCAAACCAGCCTCTGGTGAAAAGTAGGAGTAGGAGGTGGAACAGTATAGAAAGAGACAACTCTTTCTGCTAGAAATGTTTACAGTTAACAGATAAAATATCTTTAAAAATTTACTTGGGGTCTTGTTAACAATAATTTATTAATCTATTTCTTCTAAGAAAGACAAACTATTTATGTAAATAGTGCTTTTCTTTCCTCTTTCCCTTTCTTTTATCTGTACATTATTCTTTATTAACTAGATGCCTAACTCTTGATGTCCTTTTCTTGCAAACTGTCTCTGACTTTTATGTCTAGGTAATTCACTCACTGAATATTATCATCCCTTTTCCATGTGACTTCAATACTGACTTCAATTAAGAAGTAGAAATTAATCTTGTGGCATGTGAAGGAATTTCCTTTTTCAGAAAGAGAAACAAAAACCTATTTGTGTCAATAGTATCAAACATATCTGACCATACAGTATACCTTTATTTTTTACATTTATGAATTCATCCTTGATGAGAAGTTTAGGGAATCTATTTAAAATTTAAGTAAAACTGAGTAACATTTCCCCCTCCTTTTCCACTCACTACAAAAGGAGACACTGACATAGAAAAAATTTGATTTTAAGTTACTTTATGAGAATTTTGAAACCATCTCTTTAGTTTATCAGTCTGCAGGTCGATAATATTGACTCTAGACAAAATTAAGTGTCATTATTTATTCCAAGCTACTAATTTCTTTAGAGTGCTCAATTTCCTTATTGTGCTATTTTAAATGAAATAAAAAATATAAACTCTTTTAAACTTTTAATGTAGCTAGTGACCAACAGAAAGACACTTTTCTGATCCTAGACTGTTAGACAAGAGTAATGAGGTTTATCTTCTCAGGCTATGTAATACCAAATCCAAATTTCAGAAATCAATTAGCTATTCAGAGAGGAACACCACAAGGGGGCAGGTGAATCCAGGCTAGGTCCTAGGTAAGAGGGTCTCAGTATTCGGAATTCTGGTCAAAGGAAGGGAAAGAAAATGAAAATTAGAAACAACTCTGAAGAGACTATTTCTTCATGAACTTAAGCATTATATCTGGATCATCCAAGTGAAATTTTATTTAAAACATATCCAAAGACATTAACTACAATATACCAAGGAAATGAATAAAAGAAATCAAACTAATGTAGTCACATATTGAAAGTGCTTGCTATATTTATGAAGGCCAACAGTTTCACCAAGAAGAGAAAAGCTATAAACACAGTGAGAAGAAATGCAAAATTTACTACAGAGCAGTTAGGGTATACTTTAAAAATATATTACAACCAGATAGAAAAAGTGTCAAAAAATTAAAAAGATATATGATAAGATACTTTAGTTTCAAAGTGATCTTAATAAGCAACAATTTTATAACAGAAGCATAAACTTTGAATAATAGAGCTATACTAGGTTTTTTCCACACAAAATTGAGAGATTAATTTCAGACACTGTAGGAAAGATAAAAGCTGCTGCTCAGAAGAATCTGCTGTAATTTTCACTAGAAATTAAATTTAGCCTACCAATAGGAGGTAAAAATTGATTAAAAAATTTGTTCTCCTAAACAAATATTTTAAAATTGACAATAGACATCCCCCATGAAAATGTCAATGACAGTATTAGTCACCAACATTTACACACACACACACACACACACCCCTACTTTCTATGCAAAATAGCCAGGATTAACTCCATTTGGCAAAACTGGAAATTATAGCCAGCCTCCATTTTGTACCTTACTAAGGAAACACATAATTATTTGATGTGGGTAGGTAGTGTATTATTTTATCTCTGACAGATTAGTAAAATGAAATGCACAGACCATTGTAGCATAATATATAGTATAAAATAGTATAATATATAATGTAGTATCATAAAGTATACAAGTTTTATCTCTTAATGGTAGATTTATTGAGTTTCTATTAACAAATAGAATCTTTAAAGTGAAGTTTTAAGTGGTTTCTTTTATTTCTGATAAAATGAATTTATGAGGCCTCTACAATAACTTTTAACAGTAAAATTATAGAAGTCAGTTCTTTTAATGATAAATCTATTGATTGGTGAAGTCATCTCCTAATAGATTTTAGGGAAAGTTAGATTTTAGAAGCTGGGGGGGCCAAGTTGAATATGATACATTTGGTTTCGTGGTACTATATAACTTAACACCAGCCAAATCATTAAGCCTATTTACAAAGCAGAGCTCTGGACTCAAATATAAATGCTGATTCTTATGTCACCTTAACAAAGGCTGTTTTCCTCAAATTCACTCATTCTCCTCTTTGTGTATATAAATATACACATATACATAACATATGCAGGCACACATAAACTCACACACAGAGACACACACATACATACATGATGCAATCCATCGGTGGTGTTTTAGGTTACTCTTTCTTCTCTTTTCAGTCTATGAACAGCTTTATCTTCCTTGTCTTTCTTTATCCCGAGTAGTCACTGGGTCCTCATAGGCTTTGTCACCTAAAGGACATGGAAGCAGCTTCTGCAATACCTGAAATAATAATGCTTTGATTTGTCAATGTGAAAAGTTGGATGGCTTTTAAAAGTTGACCAGTCCAGGGCTATTTGCACACAGTAGACATTCAATAAATATTTGTTGATTTGATTTATACTAGGGTAAAGAGCTGGGTTACAACTCTTTTTTCCTCCACTGATGTGCTATGGGTCAGCCTATGTACAAATGCACTTATGAGTAAATATTAATGGTCATGGTCACTGAGGATGTTTTAGAGAGAAAAAAAATCTAGATCTGCAGACTGTTAGGAATAGCAAAGATTGGGAGCATGTTTACTAAAATAGACAGTAGTTATGACAGGCACCATAAAATAGTGTATTCTGATAAATTATTTGGAAACAAAGTAGCTACTTCATAGGTTTTGAATCAATCTCATGCTGAGGGTTTAAATTCTTGACTGCATACAATAGGGCAAAGGAGCTGTCCATTTAAAAAAATCGGTAATATTTTGGTGATGAGTGAGCATATTCATAAGCCACATACTATTTATTTCCTTTGGTATCTTTTCCCTTGTGATAGTCACAAAAGTGTGTGTGTACATTTTATTGACAATTTAGGGGTCTTGGATATAAAAAATGAGAATTTCTCTCAAATTTCAAGTAATGTGTAACTTTTAAAGAGTTAAACTCTCTACTCCTATCATTCTGAAGGCATAATTGACTTATTTCTTTTTCTGGTCACTAATAGTAAAAACTGTTTCTGAGCTTACAACATGTTAAATTTTGGCTCAAGACAAATTTACAACAGCAAGGCTTATAATAAAATCTGTCAAAACATTAACCACGATGGCACAAGTTTCAGCCCTTAACAGAAACAGGGAAGCAGGAGCTCAGGAATGGACACACATTTTACTTCAAGCTCTGAAAATGCTCGCTTATGTCACATTATGAGTTACTCAAGTCCTTTTCCCCCTTATTTTACCCTAACGTGAAAGTTCTATAGGGTGATTATGTGTTTTACTTAACTGGTTTCAAAGAGGTAGAATGTCCTAGGATTAAAGATATAAATCTAAATAAAAAATTACCAGCTCAGAGAATTTCAGATGTTCAAGACAAAAGCTAAGGATCTATACATAGCATTTTTACTTCTTGTCTAATAAATTTGAAGAAAATTGTCTTAATATAGGTTGTATCTTACCTTTTGCTACTTTAAGACAAAGATGATTCATTTGGCCATGTGCCAGCATTTGTATATTATTTATTAAGATGATTTCAAATTTTCCAATATGGTAGACAAATTGGTAGTTTGGGTTTACTATTCCTTGAGTAAAGAAGCTGTATTTCCTAGAAAATTACGAACAAAATACTGTTATCAAAAGTGAATCTCTCTGCTGGCAGTCAGTTATAACCAAGATAGTTAATTTTGTGTGTGAGGCACATACTAGAAACAATTTCAGAGGAGGGCATACTATCCTGAATAATGTAATTTCATTAGACACAGCTGGGATAGATTTATAAGAAGAAAGTTTTCTTTAGGGAACTTAAAGGTTTTCAGTGCGTTAATATCATGGTCATACAAGTAAAATGCAGTGAATATTCCATGCTTCAGTGTTTCAAAAAGCCTTTGATATAACTGTCCTGTTTTATTGTTTTATTTATTGAAGAAGGGTAGGCATTTTTTAAGCTTTAGGATCTTCATTCAACAAGGTACATGATGAACTGGTGGAGACGAAAGTAAAGACAAAATAAAATTAGTAACTAAATATTAATTTCTGAAGCTGTAATTTGGTGGGTAATGTTCATGCAGCTTTTTTTTTTTCTCTCAGATATCTTAGAACAGGGTTTAGGTATTGAAAGAATAACACAATCAGAAAACAAAAACTTGAAAAAGTTTATAAAAATAATCAGAATTCAGAGAACTTTAGTGACTTTTAGGAAATGAGGAATTACTGAATTTGAAATCATGATTTAAAGTAGAGTGCAGCAATATCGGAAGGCATCCACACACACCCACTGGTTTATACACTGATTGCCTTGTCCCTCTCCTTGTCTGAATTTTGATACTCTTGGTTCCAGAAAGCAATTTAGTTATTACTGTTGTTCAGTAAGATTTAAATGGCCTATGTTGTGGTCTGAAAATTTTGTACAAACTTACGAGACAACAAAACCACACCTTCACTTTATTATGGAGTGAAATTTCAAACTTTGGACTGTATGGGACAAAAACCTAACAGTTACACACAAAATTCTGATTAAACTTAACCAAATCAATCAAACACAACAACTTCCCCTAAACCCCAAAACTCTTCACTTTAAATTGATTATGGTTAAAAGTTAAATTCTTCAGGTAAACCCAATGTTTCACCTGGTAATGTGCCAGGTGCTAGATAATTGGACATAATAGTATATTTTAATACCACTATTTTAAAAAAAGGATACTCATATCTTAATCTTTCAATGTCATGTATTTTTTAGAAAGATGGAATACACAAATGCTTATAAAACAAAAATACAATTCGCAAATTTAGGCTTCATCGTTAACCAAAATGATCATTCATCAAGTATTTACCTGTGCAAAGAAACGTGAACAAGACTGAATCTCTGACCTCCAGAGGCTGCATGCTAATGGGAGACAGTACAGGAAAAAGGAAACAAGAGGAAACTTAATAACTGCCCTAATAGAGATGGAGAAAGAGCTGTAAGTCATACAGAAGAGAGATTAACTTCTACTTGGTGGGGGGGTGGGGGTGGGGAACTAGGGAAAGCTTCGTGTTAGGGGGTGGTATACAAGTGTTCTTGAAGGATGAATTGGATTTAAACTCATGAAGGTGGATTTGACTCAGTAGAGGATTAAAAATGTCAAATGAATTAAATAATGAAAGTATAGGGTAGGAACTGAAATGGAGAGTATGCTTGGAGCATAAGGTCTAAGGCATTAGTATAAATGGAAGTCACTTTTATTAATTTTCTTGCCATCCACAGTAAAACAAAATAATGTCAGAACCTTGATGTATGATTTGGGCTGTTGGTTCTTTAAAAAAAATCCAAAATGGGCCCAGAAAACATTTCTAAAATTAAAAAATAAAAGCATACACACACTTCATTCTTCGATTCTAGAAATGATAAAGCCACCTTTTGTCTTACTGCAACTTTAACCCAATAATATCTGCAATATTTGAACTTGCAGTCCACAAGGTAGCTATATTTCTTGAAAGTTGTTGCAATTTTTATAAAAGCAGAAATAAAATGATTATTTGATATGATTGAGGTCTTAATTGAAAAGAAACTTCTGATTTCAAAAGTTTCTCCTCACTTCTATTCAACAAGCAAGATTACATGTTCACATTCCTCTGTGTCACCTAAATAAAAGTACACAATTACTCTTTATAATATGACCACAATTTAAGAAAATAAGGTGCAAAAAGCAAATCTAATTTTGTAAAGTGGTAAGACTATGATGTAAGACATTAGTAATCAGTGTACACATTCAAGTAAAGAGCAGTTCTTCAAAGCAGTAACAGAGATATTTTATGTCAAATTATTATATTGCTGCTCAAATTATATCTGAATTTTCTCCTCTGGAATTATCTTCAGAACTGGTTTGGGAGTTGGAGAAGAAATTCAGTCTCCCCTCTTCTAGTCACCTGGTTTTTGTTTCAAAACAGTATGTCTAGAAGCAAAATGAGACTTATAGATTCAAAATAAAACCTTGTCTCTAGCAAGCCAGTGTGTACGTAATCTATATGAGCTTGAGAAACATTCTTTGTGACATTATCAGGAGGATCTCCCTAAGCAACAAAAACTGTTGGCTTGGAAGAAAAGTCCACAGGAGACAAAGTATACTTAACTGGTGCATTTGGCAGCTCTCACCTTTTCAAATAATATGTAATTTTAGTTTCTCTGTTTTACTCAAAGTTGCTAAGCTTTAAAACAGGTACACATTTGGAAGTTTCTCCTATAGTAGGTGTGATTTCTTGAAATGAAAGCCACTTTTTAATTTAAGCTTTCTTAGGAGCACCTTGATTTATTTTTCATACATATCACGAAGGCTACTTTTTAGAGGGGGAGCAGCTGGACTAGACAGGCAGAAGCATCTTACTTGCTTAAAAACATATAAATCATATGGTTTTATTTATAAAACCAGACATGTTGATTACTGCTGTTTTCTAAGTCTTGCTTTACGTGGAACCAGTGTTAAAAGTTCGTTAGCTAGAGCTTAACAACACAATGGCTGAAGGAATGGAGTTACCACACAAGTGTTTAAATTCCATGCCGGATCCCTAGCTACAACAGAGAAGAAAGTTCAAACAACAAAAACAGAGTTGCAAAGTCTGAACTTGTGTGTCACGGATACCTCTTACTCATCACCAGGCAGCTCTTATTCAGGGCAACCAGGCCCTCCCAAGCAACATGGTTAATTGAATAAGGATTCTGAACCTTCTGGCTGCAGATAAACCAAAGTGGCACATGGCTCATAACTCAAACATTTCATTTTAGGCAGCTGTTAGTTTTCTTGCCCAGGCTAATTTGGATTATTCAATCATTTTCTTTTCTTTAATGAGAAACTGCTTGTAGTTACTGGTGGGGACAAAGAGCTGCAATTATGGATCTTGGAAGGCAAATTTATTATCTACTCATTTTAATCATGTATACAAGTGATACTAAATTCAGAACATTTTATTAGCAGTATAATTATGTGTGTGTGTGTGTGTGTGTGCACGTGCATGTGTGTGTGTATGTGTGTAAATTTAGTAACATTCAGCCCTGACTACTGTTTCCTACTGTGATGGATCTGGAACCTCCCACAGTGAACAACTAAAAATGTTGAACAGAAAATGACAAACATCTTCCCAAATACATCATTATGTTGGCATGTCAGAAAGGAATATTGAGAAGCTAAAACCTAAGTAAACCTGGGAACCCTTAATGGCATGTGAAGTACAAAGGGCAGATTTTACCTTGAGAGCATTTGACTTATGACAGGGGTGAAGCTGAGCTTTGGTTTCCATGGCCTCCTAGTGGAGCAGGGGATAGTGGACAAAGTCCAGGGCCCACCCACAGAGAGAAATCTTGAACTCAGACTATGAATGGAGGATAGAAAAAAATATTCCCCTTATGAATTTTATAATCACAAGCTAGCCCTTATGTGGATTTTCTACCTAAACTAGTATTATTTAAGTGGCCCAATAAAATTCAAATGATGTTAAAGTGTGCCGAGGCCTGCACATGCTCCCAGGCTACCACCAGAAGCAAATACAAAGCCTCTATGAAGGAAGCCACCTTCAACTCAGGCCTTGAAAAGTCCCACAGAGACTAATTTTAAGACATATAAGTTCACATTCGTGAATCAGTAAACCTGCAAAGAAATAAGGCAAGATAAATGAAGCTAGCAGAAGTAATACCAAAATTGGAGCAGGAAATACTTGAGATACTAAAATAATCAGAAGGTAAGTACAGAATAAGCATGTTTAAAATGTACAAGAAAATTAAAACGAGTTGAAAATATGAGATAGTAACAAGAGACTGTAAAAATCATCAAATGGATTTGGGAGTGAACAAAATATAACTTCCTGAAATAAAAAATATAATAACAGAAATTACGAACTCACTGGAATGCTGCTTCCAGACAGAAGAGTTGGTTGTTGCAGACCAACGCTCCTGCCAAGAGCAACTAGTAAAGCTGGATAAAATACAAAAAGTATTTGTTTAAAAGTATCAGAGATGGGCGGAAACAAAGACAACTTGTGGCACTAGGATTCCAGAGAAGCGAGAACAGAGAGGTAAGCTGAGGGTCTGCAGCCGCTCTCCCCCTGCAGGCATTACTGGTTCTGGGTGAAGGTGAGAGAATGGTACTCTGGGCTTTGTCCTGGCAGAAGACTGCTGCTAGGACAGAGACACCAGCAGAATTTTTGGCACTCCTGCAGGGCTAGAATGACAGACCTGGAGAAACAAATGACCTGAAACACATGCCTAGTTCCCTCTTCAAATATCTGGCAAATTCTGAGCTGTCCTAAATGGGCGGGTAAAAAAGCTCAAAAGACAACATTTAAAGGGACCCGAGGGAAGATAGCACCTTCACTACCAAAAGCCTAGCAAGCTACGCCATGGGAGAAGAGGCAAACCAGAGAAAAATGGAGCCTCAGTCAAACTGCAACCCAGCTTCAACTCAGCACAGTACCTAACTTGATTAATGTGATTACCTTCCACCCAATCTTTCCAGTAGAGGAAAGGTTAAGCTCTCTCTGGTGGAAAATAAAATCTGGAGGTTCAGGACGTCTAACATTCAATCAACAATTAATAGGCACGCACGCTGAGAGACAGAATCATGCATCTAGACACCTATAAACAGAACAGACGACAGAGAAAGACCGATGGGTGATTCAGACTCTGGAGCTAGTAGACATGGACTTGTAAGGAACTATGAGCACTATGTTCAAGAAAACAGGTAAAGGGGAGATAACATATTTAAGAAAGATAAGCATTTCACCAGAGAATTGAAATATACCAAAAACATCAGGAAGAAACCGTAGAATTGAAAAATACAGAACCTGAAATTAAGAATTGAATAAAACAGAAACAGACTCACAGACACAGAAAACAAACTTATGGTTACCAGGGGGAAGGGGTGGGAAGGGATAAATTGGGAGTTAGAGATTTGCAGATACGGACTGGTATATATAAAACAGATAAACAAATTTACACTGTATAGCACAGGGGACTATATTTGATATCTTGTAGTAGCTTACGGTGAAAAAGAATATGAAAACAAATATGTGTATATTTATGTATGGCTGAAGCATTGTGCTGTACACCAGAAATTGACACAACATTGCAAACTGACTATACTTCAATTAAAAAAAGTTAAAAAAAAGAATTGAATAGTTTTAATAGCAGAAAACAGGGTTGGTGAAATGAAAACAGGTGATTTTGAAAATGTAAACTAATGCACATAGAAACAAAAATGGAAAATACAGAAGAAATACATGGGAATGCAGTAAAAAAATACTAAAAATACATAATTGGAGTCACAAAAGTACGGAGAAAAAGGCACTGAAGAAAGATTTCCTGAAATTGATAAAACGATATTAAGCCAGAGGTTTAATAGGTCTATGAACTCATGCAAAGAACACCACATCTAGGCACAAAATAAAACTGCCATCCTCCCTCCCTTTGCCAACCAAAACCCCCAAAAAACAAAAAGGAAAAAAGATCTAAAAAGCAATCAGAGAAAACAGAGATTTTTACTTTCAGGAGAAGAACATTAAGGCTGACAGTTGATTTCTCAACAAGGGAGATGGAAGCTAGACATCAAGAGTGTGACATTTTAAAAGAGTTACAGGAGGACTTATACTTTTGGCCATGATGGAATGAACAAGGACCGCATTTACCTTCTCACCTTAAAGAAACAACCCCCTCAAACAAAAAATTCAAAACAAAACAAAACAAAAAGAAAAAAAGGAAAAAAGTAACCAATACCAAAGCAACAACAACAAAAACAACAGTGGAAATACATGGTCAATGTTTTTGTATTTGGACAACAGGCAGCACAGGACAGTGATCCCAGAGAGAAGGGAAAGAAATGGAGTCCTAGGGTTGCCCCAGCTTATCCTATGGCAGGTTTATGGAGCAGAGTGCAGCAGAGGGAAAAAACAGAGCTTGGCAGCTTCCCTGAGTTGAGGACAGAGTTGGGAACTTAGCGAGGCCATGGTGGTTAGAATTTGCAGGTCAGAGGGCTGGAGAAGAAAGATTCTGCGTGGAGCAGGGAGGGCTGTAGAGTGAGAGAGCCAGTGGGCTCAGGAGAGCTACAGTGCACTCCCTGAGTCTTCCTCTGAGCATGGGCAGTAGGGACTATGGAGTAAAGGCTAAGAATCATCAGAGAGGCAGGCAGAACAATGACCAAAACTCACACACGGTTGTGACCAGTCAGAGCAGAGAAACCTAATACTACACTGGACATCAGGTTTTCAGAAGGTGATTGCCTAAGGTGGGAAGAATCAGCGTCAGACTAAAGGTGCTCTGGTCCTACCTACTGAAGCTTAAAGCAGACTTCCAAGAATCAAACTGACTCCCAACTAGTAAAACTGCATACCTGAACGAAGTTCAAAAGTGTATAATGAAAGGCAAAAGTATCGAACACCCAACAAGATAAAATTCACCATGACTGGCATCCAAAAACAGTCACCAGGCATACAAAGCAGGAAAATACAACTCATGATCGTATAGCTCAGGGAAATACAGTGATTATTTTACAACAACTTTAAGTGGAGTATAATCTATAAAATATTGAACCACTATGTTGTACACCTGAAACTAATATAATGTTGTAAATCAACTACACGTCAATAAAAAGAAAAATAAAAATACAATTCATGGTAAGGAAAAAAATTAGTACAAAAAGACCTGGAAATTAAATAGATAACAGAATTAACACACAAGGACATCAAAACACTTCTTATGACTCTATCTTTTATATTCCAGAAGATAATGTAAATCATTAAAAAATTCAGAGATACAAAAGACATTAAAAAGATCCAACTTTAACTTTCAGAGATGAAAAATGTATCTGTGATGAAGAGGGCTCTGGATGGGATTAAGAACACATTAGACACTGCAAAAGAAAAGGTTGGGAAATTTGAAGACAAAGCAATAGAAACTCTCCAAACTTTGTTTTTTCATTTGCCTTAAGATAAATAGACAATTTTAATGCAAACATTCAATAGGGCATCTTTCCCATCACTTCAGAGGAAAATGAGCCCCTCCCCCCAAATAATGAAGAATGAAAGAGCTGTAGGACAATCTCAAGTGGCCTAGTACAGACCAAATACAAGTATAGATGGAGAAGAGTTTGGGGACCAAAACTACTGAAAAAATAATAGCCAAAATTGAAAAAATTGATAAAAATTATAAACCCATAGTCCAGGAAGTTCAACAAATCACAAGCACAGAAGCAGGCAGAAATTTATACCATAACACATCATAATCAAATTGGCTAAAACAAATGATAAAAGGAAAACCCTTTTAAAGCAGCCACAGGACATATGTACAGAGAACAAAAATAAAAGTGACAGCAGGAACAAAGCAAGCCAGAGACAGTAGAGTGGTATCTTGAAAATATTTCTTAAAAAAGTTAACCTAGAATCAATCCTACAGCCAGCAAAAAACTTTTTTCACAAAATGAAGGCCCCTTCCACAAAAAAAAAAAGAGAGAGAGATTTTCACTATACAAGCTGAAAGAATTCATCACTGACAGCCCTGCATTAGTATAAAAGAGAAATACTTCAGGAGGAAGGAAAATGGTAACAGGTGGAAACTTGGATCTACACGAGAACGAAGAGCCCCAGAAACAGCAAATGCATGGGTAAATACAAAATAATGTTCTTACTTTTAAAATCACCTTAAAAATAGTTGATTGTTTAAAGCAAAAAGTAAGTTATTATTCTGTACATACATAGAAGTAAAAGGTATGACAACAATATCACAAAGACCATACGTGGTGAGATAGTTTTTTGCACAGAAACATGAAAGTTTAGAGATTACTAGTTTATGGAAACTTTGTCCCAGTGATTCCTACTGCTCACCCCACTCTGGGCCTCTTCTAGCCACGTACCTTCAGCTTTAAATTCTAAGTTTACTACAGGTCACAGAGTGTTACATGGTCTGTTTCTATTTACCTTACCTTGATTAAATAAGCAAACACAGCAGAAGCAGTGTTTTTAGATTTTAGCTATTGATGGCAGGAAAATTCCACATACAAATTCTAAAATTAGTCGAGGTGCTTTGTAGTAGATTTGAATCATTCTACTTTTTTTTTTTTAAGTAAGAGAATTTGATTTCCCTTTTTAGGTTCTTTCTAACCATATTTAGCAAAATAATGTTTCTCTTTAACATTTTATTACAATTTTTATATCGAAATAGTTTTGAAAGGTTCCTAAGGTACCTAATAAATTTGTTCATAATTACTTTTATCTTTATTAAACTTGTTTAGGAAGTCAGACGGTTTGACAGTGAACTTAGTCTGTTTCCTTACTGTGGTATATTTTACAGGTACATCAAGTATACTGTCTTCAGGATTTTACACTTAAAAGTTTGATTAAGATCAATGTATAGGAATTGCATTGAAATGTGTAGGATTTGCAGTGGAAAGTTTATGTGACTAGAAAGTAAATATGTATTTCAGATATTTGAGTTTGTGCATTAAAATGCACCTTTGTTAATAAACAGAGAGTCAAGAAACTGGTGTCTTTCAAAGTAATAGCATTCTCCAAAACTGTGTTTAGGAAACAGTAACATTAAAAATAAGTATATTAATATATAAAATAGATAAACAAGTTTATACTGTATTGCACAGGGAAATATATTCAGTATCTTGTAGTAGCTCACAGTGAAAAAGAATTTGAAAATGAATATATGTATGTTCATGTATGACTGAAGAATTGTGATGTACACCAGAAGTTGACACATTGTAAACTGACTATAAAATAAAAAAATAAGTATATTAAGATTTCTGCAAATAAATATCAATAACACACAATATTTCAATGATTATTAAAAATACACATTATCATTATTAAACTCTAGTTATGAAATCCTACATTAAAAATAACTTCAAACTTTATAAATTTAATTTAAAGTACATAATAGAAAAGAAAACCTTTCAAAAAAGGTTATTCTAGTAAAAGGATTACAGAAAATCTGGTAACTTGAGATGCTGTTCTGAAACGTATGCTACTAGTTCAAATGTGCAAGCTCCAACTTAACAAATGTTTAAAATATTTGAGTTTTGAAAACAGTGCCAAAATAAACCACATCTTTTCTAGAGATGGCATATTTAGCTAAGCACGAGTAATATAAATCTTTCGACCATTCTATGTATTTGTTTAAAAGCCTCAGAAACCACGTGCATTTGTAATAAAATATGAACAAAATGCTGAAATCACTGGAGCCTAACAATTGACTTATAAATCAATTTTTTAAAAAGGCAAATGTATTTCTGTCTGTGTATTTACATATCTGTTTACATCTAGACACAAATAGATAGACAGGTTAGCTGTAAATGACAGTTATTAATGACATAATAGTGTCTTGTGGAAAATTTGGTTCCATACAAACCATATGTGAGAAGACAAATGTATAGGCCATGGCTATTTTATTATAGTGCCTCACTAATCATGAATACTAAGACAGAAACTTTAATAGTTACCTTTAAAAATATACTATTCATAATAATGGGTTTCTATGCAACCATATCCAATATTAAATGTATAAATCAGTAATATTCTAACTTTTTGTGAAATAAGCTAATTCTATTGGTAAGTGACTTGATAAGACTCATCAATTTGTATGAATAAGGAAATATACAAAGGATCAACTTTCTCACTGAAAAAAGAAAAATATTTTAAACAATTTTAACATAATGGCTTACTTATAAAGGTAGAATGAAAATGTCATATATTACTAATTAACTAATACCTCTGCTGTAAGTACTTATACTGTGTTTATAATCAATAACCTTGTTTACAACTTGCCTATAACTGGTTTTATCTCTAACAGATGCTCTAAGTGGTAGATATAATATAATATA